ATTATTTAACTCAAAACGATATGTCGTGACTTATGGTTTTAACTTTTACTGTGAGTTTCACGTTTTATGAAATTATACTCATATAACTGTACTTTTAACTTATTATATACGGCATTAGATTATAGGTTTTCTCTAACCATTATAATGGCTTTCCCCTAAATAAAGTTTAATTAAAACTTTATTAAACTTTATTTCAACATTTGATGTGAAGCCAAATGAATTGCCAGAATAGTTTGTTTTGATTTACAAACAGTAGAAATGGATTTATTTGCTGTTTATACCAAATGCTAGTTATTATCTATAATTAGATAATTTTGTCTTTGAATTGATTAGCAATTTCTCAAAAATAATTGTTTCAAACATTAATACGATTTACGTGTTTCTCAAATCAAATAATATAAGCAATATTGTTATGAAACCTATAATTTTCAGATCTCACAAAATATTTCAACTCTTTATAAATCATATTATTTTAATTTATACTGTATTTTCAAATTCACTCATCAATTGTATACCATTTTTAAAAATTGAGTAAAATTTATTAATACAGTATTTATTAGAAGTAAATACAATTTATTGAAATACCGTATTAATTTTAGTTTAGACAGACGTATATAAAAAGTACTTAACTTATGAAAAATTTGTCATATAAAAGTAATTTATATCTTTTTATAATTAAATTAAAATGCAGGTAAATTAAAATAAAAACAATTTTTAAAATTTTTGCCAAAAGAATTGGAAATTAATAATAATTCTAATAATTTAATAAAATATTGGAAAAATGAGATTACTATGTCTCTACAATATTACGAAATAGAGTCTATATTTTTAAATATGAATAGTAGTGGAGACAAAACTTCATTAATAACTGAAAATAACAGTGGATTGTATGACATGTATGGATGCAAACAGTGGTGGAGTAAAGGTGTGGCTATGAGTCGAGCTTTGGGTGCGATTCTTGTGTTGCAGTGGTTTGTCGTAAGTGTTGTTCAGATTCTTGTTCACAAGAATTGCATTATATTTTGCATAATATTTATACAAATTTATAAACATATAATTTAAATCATGTACATATTATTTAATAAAATTAATAGAATTCAATGCAAATAATTGACAAACAAATCTCTATTATGACCGACAGTTCTCAAAAGAGGTCAAAATTAAAATAATCTTTATTTTTAAGTTAGTTTTATGCCTATTATACCATATGAAAGACCTATCATTTTCATAATCGCATTAACGTATATTTGAATAACTTAACCATTTTTAGACAATCAATTAATATTGAATAACATTTACATCAAATAGTTATGGAAATTCTGCAATAAAATTGTATAATAAACTTAAAATATAACAAAACAGTCATCTGAAGTAGCTTTAAATCAAAGCTAACTTGCAAGTTTATAGCAACCTATAATTTTAGCGTTAGTTTGTCTCAAATAAACTACAGCTCAATAAACAATAATTTTTAGGATATATTTATAACATTTTGTGAAATTTTATATATAATATCATATCTAATGTTCTTAGTTTTGGCAGCAGATCCAATGGAAAGAAAACATTTGGATCTGATAAATAATGATATCATCCAGGTATTTCTAAATTAATGTTTATTTAGAATAAAATTTTAATATTAAATGATTTAAACCATTTTACAAAATTTAGAAACATTTCAATAAAATCTTTGAGATAATATATTTCAAATCTGAATAAAGTAGTAATGGCCCTGTTCAAATAAATTCTTTAGCGTAAACACAAATCTTCCTAATTTAGACATAAACATCCATTGTTTTGGATTGGTAGATAACTTTATTGTATATAAATATACAAATTATTTAAATTATAAGTAAACAAATAAAAATTTTGTTTTGTTTTTGGATAGTATTTGGTATGATTTAAGTGATATGAATTGATATGAATCAATGTTTGTTTGAGACCCAGCCTTAACTCTCATTTCCAATAATCTAAATACAGTATTAAAATCTCATTTAAATGTATTGAAAAAAAGCTAACTTGCAAGTTTATAGCAACCTATAATTTTAGCGTTAGTTTGTCTCAAATAAACTACAGCTCAATAAACAATAATTTTTAGGATATATTTATAACATTTTGTGAAATTTTATATATAATATATCTAATGTTCTTAGTTTTGGCAGCAGATCCAATGGAAAGAAAACACTTGGATCTGATAAATAATGATATCATCCAGGTATTTCTAAATTAATGTTCATTTAGAATAAAATTTTAATATTAAATGATTTAAAACATTTTAATAAAATCTTTGAGATAATATATTTCAAATCTGAATAAAGTTAGTAATGGCCCTGTTCAAATAAATTCTTTTGCGTAAACACAAGTCTTCCTAATTTAGACATAAACATCCATTGTTTTGGATTGGTAGATAACTTTATTGTATATTAATATACAAATTATTTAAATTATAAGTAAACAAATAAAAATTTTGTTTTGTTTTTAGATAGTATTTGGTATGATTTAAGTGATATGAATTGATATGAATCAATGTTTGTTTGAGACCCAGCCTTAACTCTCATTTCCAATAATCTAAATACAGTATTAAAATCTCATTTAAATGTATTGAAAATGAAAATTATATTTAATAATCATTTATTTATGCAAATATTCACTCAAAGATACGGATTCTTAGCGGAGGGTCTGACCAACACTTTTTGGCATTTCAGCGAAAAATGTTTAAACGTTTCGATAGTTTAGCAAAAATAACATAAAATTATATCATCAGAAAAGTTGAAAACATAATTTTCACTTAAAATACATTAATTTGATGTTTAAAAAGAGATATTCTATAGATTATGTAGAATATAATTGACTCAAAAAACTTAATAATGTATTTGAAATGCAATTATAATATATCGACGATTTTGGTCATCAAATCATGGGCTCTAAAACTGAATGCCGTGTCTGGACCTCAAGTGAGTCCTCTAATGATAGTTTAATGAATTATTACATGAGTTAAACAATTTATGATAACTTCCAGTCCCATAAACAAAGCCAAAACTATCATAAAATATGAGACTTAATCAAAAATTGGGTTCAAATCAACTTTGTAGATGTCTTCGTAGGCCTTACCTAAGGCTCACTTGAATGCAAAGATTGAATATAATTGCATATCTGGTAACAAACCTCAAGGCATAAGCGCTTTGTTGTGATACAAATTCACAAATATATCTTCAAATATAATTATCGGTCAAAACAACTCATAATTATGTTTTGCAAAGAAATATCAAATAAATTAGTGAATGAGTCGCGTGTGAGAGACACAGCGTTTCATTTAACACGCGTTGCAAACATCAAGCAATTAATTGTAGACAACATTATAGTGTACTCTAACTTATTACCAATTCAATGCATTCACATAAAACTCTTTGATTTATAATGTCTTAAACATAAAGTTTCATTAATTGCGTAAAGAATTTATTTGTTTTGTAAGACAACCCTTTTGTTGAAAATCTGCACTAAAACACACCTCAAAGTTGTCTATTCAATGAAAACACTTAAATACAATCCTTATTATACATCCTTTGTATCGCAAATAAAACTTTGCTTAATAAACGCCATAATTTGTTCACGGTATGGTCACTTAACATGACTGAAACTAAAAGTAATGACATTCAACACATACTTGCAATCACTGTATTCATTTAATTTAATTGTCATAAAATTAATTCAAATATTTGTATATGGTCATTTTAAATTGCTTACAAGTACAGTATTGTACAGTAATTACAGTATAATACTGGTAAATAGTATCTGTTCGGTACAGTATCTATTCGGAGTTAGAATTTAAGACCACGTTGCATTTACATTTTGAGATTACCGGAAACACTTAAAATACGTGACACCAAGTTGACATTTAATATTTCCTAGGACCATACTTGCCGGTAATAATGATAGTTAATTGGTGGCAACAAATAAGATTGTAAGCAATTGAAAGTCAATCAAATCATTAGTTTATTAAATTCACTCGAGAATCATGACAAATATACAGACAAAGTAAGACTCAATTCATACGATCACAGGTATGCCATACAACGTGTGGTGAATGCCGTTTGGGACCAATAGCTCGTCATTCATCTGTAATAAAGACAAACATGTCAGAAATGTCTTGTACTGACTCTCGAGGATGGCATTCAATAATCATTAATTATATTGACACCGAAGGCATGAATCAAATTTAATTCATTTTCCTCTGAAAGCATTCACTCATTACTACTATAATCGTAAACAAGTGTCAAGAATAAGAGGGTTTCATGTCTTCACACCAATTGAGCCAATCATTTGACCACTCATTCAATACCTCATCCATCCATCGGATCCAATGACTGTCCGCTCATCGCAGCCACCATTAAATGGCCATCACATCCGAGTCCTAATGCACTGCAAATAACATATCTATTATACAAACCATTGGTTGCGATCACAACTCAAGTCATGTATCGCATGATTAGGCGTTCATTGCATACAAAGCATACAAATTGAGTGCAAAATCAAATACAATTAAAAACAATTCAATTGAAGTGTGCGTTGAATGGCTCATACAGTGAAAGCATTGACCGCATTGTCTCACAACGTGTTCACTAATGAATGAGACTGTGAACTGGCAGTCAGTATGTGGTGTACAGACAGTGAGTGCCATCTATTGGCCATATAATGAACAGAAACTTCAATAAGTTTGCACCAAATGTGTCATCATTTGTGTGTTGAGTGTGACGTCAATACGAAATACAATTAATTTGCCGCCAATTCGTGCAACCATTTGATGACCACATCTATTGTGTGACTGTATGTGTGAATCGCTTTGAACACTGTTTTCATACAATTATTCACGTATTCATTGCTATCGGGGTTTGTGTTGACACTAATTGTGGGCTCATTTGACGCATAGGTGTGAGAGACGACTGATTGCGACAATAATTGGCGTTTAAATTGATTATGAAATTGAGTGTCGATTGAAATCAAGCGAAATGTCAGACAATACAGAGTCAGAGCCGACGCCAACACAACCAGACGTGACATCCTCTCAACAAATGGTTCATTTGCTTCCCATTCAGAGCCAAGACATGACATCCAGTGAACTCAATGACAGCCAAAGTCAAGACAATAAGTCTTTGGCGTCGAGTGAAGACAAGACATCGAGTGATCCGATCCCTAGCGAAGACATTATGAATAGGTCGTTGACATCGAGTGAACCCAATCTGAGTCACAGCGAAGACAACAACAAGTCTTTGACAAAAAGTGCCGAAAAGAGCGCCAAAAAGAAGCGAGTGATCCGATCCCTAGCGAAGACATTATGAATAGGTCGTTGACATCGAGTGAACCCAATCTGAGTCACAGCGAAGACAACAACAAGTCTTTGACAAAAAGTGCCGAAAAGAGCGCCAAAAAGAAGCGAAAACTGACGCCACAGGAGAAGAAGAGGGCTCTCGAGGAGAGGAATCGTGTGATCGCTGAGAGAGAGGCCGAGAAGGAGAGGAAGACGAGGGAAATACAGGAGAAGAAGGATTTGTTGGAAAGACAACGACTCGAGAGACAGAAACTGAAAGACGCGGAGAAAGAGAAGAGAGAGAAAGAGAGGGTCGAGAAGGAGATGGAGAGGCAGCGTATGAAAGATGAGAAGCAGAAGGAAAAGGAGGACAGACTTCGCGAGAGGGAAGAGAAGCAAAAGGAGAAGGATTTGGAGAAACAGAAGAAACTGGAGTATGGATTCGGACGACACTTACCTCTCATCGCATGTTATCTTTGCATTCAAATTGAATTAACTTTTGGTTTTATTTATAGAGAAATATCGGAAAAGAAGCGCAAATTAGAAGAGGAGAAGAGCCGAAGACTGTCTGAGAAACAAAAGGCTTCTGAGGAACAGTTGAAGAAAGAGGAGCGACAAAGACAACTGTTGTCCAACTTCTTCAAGAACTCAGCGAATCAGTCGTCGAATCGCAAGAGTGTATTGACGAGCGATGAGACGATTACCAACTCTTTGTTTCTTCCCTTCCAATTGGGTGCCAATCAAACCATAGCGCCGGCGGTTCCAGAGTTTGCCAAAAACCGATTTAATAGAGAAGTGTTGGACACTCTGTCTCAGACCCAAGACTCGGATCAGTTATATTTGGATTCAATCAAAAGCATTGATTACCATATATTTCGATGCAATGGCCGCCAAAAGAGTGAGCCGGAGATCATCATTGAGAGCACACCTGAAGGCGATGACAACGAGAATCAACCGAAGAGGTACCGCATAAAGCACCTCCAGTTCCACACCAATGTTCGGCCGCCCTATAGGGGAACGTTCCGCAAACGGAGCCATACTATCAAAGCCACCCAACCCTTCAATAGAGACACCGATGTGTTTGACTACGAAGTGGACAGCGATGAGGAGTGGGAAGAGGGCGGACCCGGAGAGTCACTCGACGGCTCCGACTCTGACGGCTCTGTTAAGGATGACTATGAGATCGACAATGAGATCTTCGTTCCGCACGGATATCTGTCCGAAGACGAGAACGAGCAGAACGAGGATCAACTGAACTCATCGCTCAATCAAGACGTCGACATGACTGACATGAGTGATGATAAAATAGATCCAAAGGATACCAAATGTCTGCCACTTCTCAAAGAACAAGTATTAATGGCTGAACGCAACCGATGCTTCTCAAGAACTATGAATCCAGTGATCATCGGATGTGTTTGGGAATCAAATGCTAACAACAATCAGAAGTCCGTCGATTTCCTCCAATCGTTTAGACGGATATCTATTCAAATCAAATAAATAAATCTTTTTTTTGTGCATTTTTAGCTGTTTTGACACTTAGGGCTAAATGTTTAAAAGTCTTATTTAGATCACTATATATTAAATCATAATTAATAAATATTCCAATATTTTCAAATATATCTGATATGTATTTACCGTAATCACACACCAGTTTTTAGGCCTCCAACCTATTGTGTATTCAATGATTTGTTACAATTCTTATTATACCAATTACTTTCAAATAATATCCCACAAACAGAAATACAATTTGTAGAATTACATGTTAACACATTTTCTACCCTTTTATATTAATAAGATTATTTTGTATAAACTCAATTTAAGTTACTAATAATAATGAACTATTGACATAATGAATCATATTTGCTGATTACAAACTACCAATAATGACAATTTAATTGGAAAATAATTAGCCTTGTTTCAACAATTACAATTAGATTGGTTTGTATGTAACCGTAAATGTACAGTAAATTGTCCAGTTAAAATTCCAAATAAGAAATAATGTATTGATGATAGAATCATATTTAAAATACACAGTAATGTTATCCAATATTAACAGTGATTGAACTAGATACACCAGAGAGTACAGTAGATGATCATTAACCACAAAATAATAATTTTTTAACAATCTGTATATTTATTTTCGGAAAACATAAATTATATGATTACTAACAAATAAGAATTTTATTATTACTAAGTTTATATAATATATTATTTAATATTAATAATCTTGCAACATTTAGAATGAACTAATGGAGATCTTGAAAGTTATGATCAATGAATTTTTATACCGCTAGTACAGTTTTCTGAGCTTTAGACCCTGAAATAATGTTTACAAATGAACTGTATAGTTTTCGTTGATTTCCCTTTCTACCCTAAATAGTCAATTATATCACAATTATACGAATAACATCAATGTGAAAATAAAAGTTAAATATAATATTTAATCGTGATAAAATATGAACATAGTATTATTTTAAACATACCGTACTTTACAATTTATTCTATTTTTGTAACTAATAAATAAATGAATATTTTTCAATTATGTCATTTTAAAATATGGTTATGTGATATGCATATACAGTATTTAATTTCTCACTTTCTAAATTCATCCACAATATTTTTCAACACCAAAACCTATTTTAATTCAATTGTCAGTCCCGTGTAATCTTGAAAATTAATAAAATATTCAAAATATTGTAAGTGATCATCTAAATATTTCTTATTGTTAATTTATTGCCACTTTAGTTAAATTATTACCACACAAAGTGATAATAATTAATTTTAGTAAAATATAAACAAAATTAATTTTTTAATATTATATTTTTAAATAACCTTGCTTAAAATTAATTTTAAATTGTCTATTTTTAAATTAATTTGTAATTATAAAGCACTTTAGATGTTATAATTACTTCTAATAATCTCATTTATAAATTATAAATTATAAATATCACTTAATAAATAATTATAAAATAAATTATCTTATAAAGTTATCGGTACTTCAATAATCACAGATTTTACATCACTATAAATACTCATTAAATATTCATTTATATAGAGTACACTATAAAAATAGTATAAATTATAGTCTATATTATAGACTCTATAATCATATACTGTATTGATATATTTTTGATATTTAGCTAAATTAATATATTCTATGATAATTGAGTTGAAATAGAGCAAAAGTTTGCATAATAACAAGTCCATTGTATTGAATATAATAATATTATAATTCCATAATATCACTGAATATTAGACACTAATCCGAGAGACTTGAAAGAATAGATTATTAAATATTGAGTATTTATATAAAAAGAGCTCATTATATGAAATAGTGAATGGAGTTAACGGTGTGTTCCGTAAGAATGAATAAAGAGAAGCAAAGCATATATTGAATGATAAGTTCCGGAGTTGTGCCGTATTTTATGAGATCAACTCATAGACCAAATGAGACCATGAGATGCCTCACATTTATTGTAATACTCGACAAAATAGTCAAATCTGGTTCAGGTCTATCATCGGTGAGTGCTATGTATATATGTTGTGCTTTTGTCGATAATTTCCGTTTTGTTTCGAAATACATTTCCTCTCTTTAATGAGAGAAACTTTTCTCCGCTCAACAATCACTACATTGTATTTGTATTGCATTTGTATTATATTGAGTCAGTCTATACACTAAACTGCTCTCTACTTGCTACACCGCTATTCAACACAATGTGAATCTCTATCATCTCTTTCATTCATTCACTATACAGTACAACTCATACCAGATCTCAAAATTCAATTCTTCACTAAATATATCACTTCAATGAACATTAAAATCATTTCATCAGAGTAATAGTCAAATCATTTTAATTGCTTTAAAATAAAATCATCTACTAAATACAGTATATCATCATTTATAGCATTTATTCAATAGTTATTCAGTTGTCATGGTTCACTAATTGTAGGAACTAATATTAACATTTTCAATAAATAATTAAAATAAATAATAATACTATGATATAACTAAAAATCACAATATCTATGATATCACTATTTGTAAGTTATAAATTGTAGTTTTTAATATTAATAATATTACAATACTGGATTATTTATATTTTTACAGTATATTACTTATTAATTTACAGAATTTCTATTCAATAATAATTTGCTTTTACCGGTAATAATTTTATTAAGATTTGTTTATTAAGATTAATGAATAATGATTATTTTAATGAAATTTCTCATTTTGATTACAATATAAACATTGTGACATTAATAAATTAGTCTTGCTCAAGGATTTGTTTAATTCCAAACTATAATTATTAATATAAATGTAAACAGTTTTGTGATTGAATTGGTAAATATTGTTTTAGGAAATCTGGTATTTGATGGCAATATTGCGTGAAATGATCATATTTTGTTATGACCATTATTTTAATGTATTGTCTTTATCTAATCATTAAAAGATATATTGACTCATATTCTGTTGACATCTCTGTTATAGTTTTGCTTTAATTTTGTTTTTCCATTTCTATGATTCAAAAGCAGTAAATAAAAGTTGTCTCAAATGATGGCTTATCGGCAAAGTTAGTAATAGTGCACAGAAAACTAGATTCCGGGGCTAAACATAGCATAGAGTGGGAGAGTGTGTGAGTGAGAGAGACTGGTTGTGGACTAATTGGAGTAATGGTTTGAGGCATTACATGCTTCTCAACACAAACACTACAATAACTACAGTAGGCTTTAGTGAAACGTTGTGAACATACAACTATTCTGTATATAGTGTATACACGTATATAGAGAAAAATATACTCTTATATACTTTGCCAATCTTTTGCACAACACTGAACGCCATACTGTATCAGAGATCACCTATAGTTTACTTCTCGTATGAATCCATGTCTGCAAAGCTTTTTATTGAAGCAATAATTGAATTGTGAGATAAGTGAACATTCATTCCCATCATTCGCTTTGAAACACCAAAAGTGAGATTTGCCGACAACTCTGCACTAACTTCACAAAAAACATTGCTTTGAATTTCAATATAGCAATCAAAAGAATGAACGCGACTGAGAGAGAGAGAGAGAGAGAGAGAGAGAGAGAGACTTTTAAAAATAAAATAAGTAGGATAATAATGGGAATGCTGCTAGAATAGTGTTATGCTTACGTCAATGATATTTAGTAAATAAAGTTATCGATGCATACAATGCAATGTAATGCATATAATAATAATAATACAATAGTTCGCATAAACTATTGTATTAACGTTAGAAGTAAAATGAATTCAGTTGGTTGTGATATGTGATGAATTGAGTAGATCCCTGTCCACATACACATATGAACATATGCTTATAGATGGCATTATTCAGTAAGTGTTGGGGAACGCCTTGATGTGCAGCAAACAAATTGAAAGAAGAAATTTTTACACTCTTTTCACTCCTGAGGCCATTGAATGAATGAAAAGAAATCATACAATCATATAGTGTTTTATATGCGAAACAATTTCTCGACACAAACTTACTCTCAAAATTGTTTTGGGAGTTGTGTTCACTATATTCACTAAATTCTGTTCAAAAAGAGAAAGCGCTCACAAAATAAGTCCATTTCTATGCAATTCTTTATACAATACACGACTAATAGTATGTAAATAGGCTTTTAAAATGTTTTCTGACGTTTGAAATATATATTTACGCTTATGTTTAAAATGTTTTCAAAGTCAATACAAATATAGTATACAGTAAGACAGTATACGTGTACTGTAGAGATAACTGTGTTTTGCGAGCAAAACTTTTCTTTTCAAAAATGAATTATTTGTGACAACTTTTATAACTTTAGTTTGTCTTCAATTTCCATAAAGTATTCAATTGTGAGCTCATATGTTGTGTAAAATTAAAGAATCTATTAAAAAGAGTCAATTATTTTAGGGAACACCAGATAATTATATGCATCTCATGGGTGTCTAAGTAAAAGGGAACGGGAGTTTGGATAAAGATGTAAATTATTCACATTTCCATTACACACTCAACTCAACTCGAATTGAGTATTTAATTCAATTGAAATAGTCTTGCGATCAAATGTCACAATTTAAGGCTTTGATTGCCTCTTATGGGTTCATATGGCTAGTGAGACATCACCGGCGAGTTGTGCTCTAATATCCCTAACATCCCTAACATCCGTTACAAAACTCACTCTAAATGAGTATATTTCCAGAGGCTCTCCTCTCATACAACTCATACTCAATGAAAGTATTATATTATACACTGTTATAGACTGTTAAATATACTCAACTAGAATACGAATTAGCTGTTGGGCTGTTGGGTTGGCTACGTTAGGGTAGGTTAGGCTACGTTAGGCTAACTCTCACTCCAATTTTCAACACAAATTGGCTCTCTTTAGCATATATTCACTCGCAGTCTCTCACAAATGGCTCAAAGCATTCAAACCACTGCAAGCACTGTAAGCATTGAAAGCTATGCTAACACTCAATGTTCCGCCGATTCTATAAAATAGTCTATTTATTATACAATGAGAACAAATGAATACAATATTTATTAGCAAATAAGTTGACACCAGAGATGCCATCCGACACCTCATTCTCCCTATATATCTGTATAAGAGCTGCAAATTTCACCCAACATATATTGCCTCTCTTTCTATCAATTATCAATAATATGAGTAAACGATTATTCAATTCTATGAGTTTGTCAATACCATACATTTGTTCAATCAATACATTCAGTACAGTGCAGTACAACTTTACTGTCAAAATTACAATTTAACATTTTTAGTTTATCTAACTTATGATTTAATGTTAATATTTAGATCAATGTTTTATATAATAAATTAGTTTAAAAGGTTAAATACAATAAGAAGTTTTAACATATTTTTCAAATAAATCATTTCATGAATGTTTACATTAAAATCCTTGAAAAGATTACTTAATCATTTGTGAAAACCTAATAAATTATTAGTAATGAGTATTAATTCTTAAATAAATACAATAATATCATATTATTACTAATTGATAATTAATTGAAAAACGACATGAAAACCCTATATTAATGAATAGATTAACAAAATTTTCAAAGATTTAGTTATAATCGTTTGAAATGAAACCTTAAAGTGAACTAAACTTTCGCAAACTTTTGCAAACTATCGCTTATTTGCATCAGAAGTCAAGTCAAAGGCTTGATTAGCGACCGACGCGTAGCCCAGGATTGTGGCCGCCATCTGGGCGTTGGAGAGGGCGGCCGCAGACATAGCCCACGGAATGTTAGCCGCGAAACCAGTCGGTGCCACCGATTGCAGCGACTGATTGATTAGTCCGGCATTCATTTGATGCAAGTTCTGCAGCGATTGCAGATGTGCCGCACGCCATGATGTCGGAGATAACGACAGACCTGTTGGTGTCAAACATGGCTTTGAGTTGACGGGTGGCGAGTGGTGTCTCTCTGCTGTTGAAGATATGGATGGCGAGGAGCTATTGCTGTCAAAGCTATCGATTTTGTTGAGAATGAGATCTGATTGTGAGGTCAGAGATGGAGTATTACTTCTTCGGTTATCATCTAAATGTTCGATGCATTCAATTGAATGAGACTTTTTGTCCATTAGCTCACTTCGGCTGAGACTGTCGTCAACAGTTGAATCACAATCCGGGGCCAAAAGGCTCTCGACATCGAACTGTCTTTTTATTGCTTTGATGTTTGTGTGAGAAACAGATGGCAGAAGAATATCTTCATGAGTGCGATAATTGATTGCTTTGAGGTCTTGATTCGCAGACAATTTGTTGGTTGGGATCGAAAAGCGGAGATCATTGAAGAGATTCATATCATTTGCACAAATGGATTGATTTGCATGAATACGAAGGCCTGACGGTCCCAAAAGAGCCGAGTGTCCAAAAACAGATGCATTGACTAAATTAGGCGATGGAAGTGGCGGTGGTGTAGGACTGGGACTATCTTCGTCTTCGGGAACAGATAGACCCATATGTTTGCGGACTTTTCTCTGGGCTTTTCTGCGCCTGAAATCTCCTTTTTTGAAATCTTCCAGATTTGCGGGATGTATAGCCCAGTAGTGACCCTTTCCATTAGCACTACGACCTGCTTTGACAAAGCAGTCATTAAGTGAGAGATTATGCCTGATGCTATTTCTCCATCCCGGCCCTCGGTTTCTGAAATACGGGTAATTGTCGAGAATATGTTGGTATATATCGCTTAAAACCATTTTCTGTTCGTTGGTACTCAATATAGCCATAGCTATGAGTCCGATGTAACTGTGCTGTGGTTTGGGCTCTTCGTGAATGAATCGGAATCTGGAGTCAAATCTAGTGAAGGGAGAGATAGCGGCAAACGGCGGCCCATCAGTGAACGCCGGATGTCCATAGCCTGGGTTCAGATTATACGGAGTGTTGGCTGAGCCGAAGGGCGCGTGACTTAAGCGAAAGCGTACGGACGCCGAGGCCTGGGAGGCGTAGTCGTAGAATTGAAATCTATGATAGTCTGCGAGATTAAAGTGTTGCGGTGTTTGAGATGATGGGATCCGATGGTTGACTACATTTCCCAATGAGAAAGCATTGTTAACAGCAGTTATGTTGTTAACAGAAGTCGAGCTGATTTGAGGATTATTTTCATTTGGCACTGGATTTACCAAAAACGGATTAACTGCTGAAGACTTCATTCTTAAAGCAATCATAGCTTGAGTCGAGCCATTGCTATCAGATTCGCACATATCTTGATTGCTTTAGTCGTGAGATATTAATATAAATAAATAAGCGTTGATATGATATAAGGAAAATGTAATTTCAAATCACTTTTGCAAATTCAGTTCAGTTCAGAGCTTCGTTTTGATAAAAACACAACAAAATAAGATATTTATTTTGAAGATGTTATGCATCTCTCACTTAAATGGATTGTATGGTTAGTATTGGTTAGGATTTGTTAGTTTTGAATGTTTTATCTGTTAGAGTGTTCTGTGCGGTAGGTTTGATGGATAGCTCACAATCACAACCAGCGAACCTATACTCCATGTGAACAACGGTTGGCTGCAAACTATCTGTGAGGCGGAGATATCTTTGCTATGTATACAGTATATGATAGAAGTGATGGCTGTGTATGTGTTGATGGAAAGAAGTCTAGGCCAAATAGATGACAAATTCAAACATATTGTCCTCTTGTCATCAAACTATTTTCACTCTGTTTTCACTTCAAAACCCCAACGCATGTCATATTAAAGACATTAGGCCTCAAACACGCGACCTGTCTTTACTCTAAATCCACATTAAACCCATAATTATAGACTATCTCCGCATTTGTGAACCTTATTAAAGTCTCTCTCTCTCTCTCTCTCTCTCTCTCCGATTATAAGACACAATACAATAGAATAAAATATTAGAGAATTTGAATAAACGGTAACTTCAAAAGAGATGATAACGTGCCGTAATCGTAGAAAGTGCCTAAAATAGTTATCAAATGATTATTTCGTTAATATGGTGAATAAAATGATGTTTAAAGAGAAACATTTTATTTGTAACAGGGTAATTATGAATCCATTATAAATAGATTTAAAATTGGCAGAATAGTGAGATTCAAAAGCAGTAAATAAAAGTTGTCTCAAATGATGGCTTATCGGCAAAGTTAGTAATAGTGCACAGAAAACTAGATTCCGGGGCTAAACATAGCATAGAGTGGGAGAGTGTGTGAGTGAGAGAGTGTGTGAGTGGGAGAGTGTGCGAGTGAGTGAGAGAGACTGGTTGTGGACTAATTGGAGTAATGGTTTGAGGCATTACATGCTTCTCAACACAAACACTACAATAACTACAGCAGGCTTTAGTGAAACGTTGTGAACATACAACTATTCTGTATATATTGTATACACGTATATAGAGAAAAATATACTCTTATATACTTTGCCAATCTTTTGCACAACACTGAACGCCATACTGTATCAGAGATCACCTATAGTTTACTTCTCGTATGAATCCATGTCTGCAAAG